GGCATCTACTTAATTAGTAGTAGATCTGTTTCTATTTTTCTGTTATTATTATTTTTATTTTCTATTTTTATAGTTCATGATATTTTTATAGTTCATGATATGTAATATATAGATGATATCCACTTGTACGTTATCATTACATTCATCATATCTTACTTTGGAATTTTCATCCGATTGTATCATCAAAAATGACTAAAGCCACCATTGCCATCTTCATGATCGTCCTCGTTCTAGGTTTGTTTTGCACTTTAAAACCCGATATATAGTTTATTATAGAAAATCATTTCTTCTTTTGACCAAAAAAAAAATAAGAAAATGATTTCTTATTGAATATTTTCCTCATATTTTCTCATTCATTCATAGTTTTTTTTTCGGTCATCACTTGTTTTTAGTTGATAACGAAAAATTGAAATTGTAACCGTATTATAAATACTTATATTAGGGATGGTGATGAAGGAGACCCAGGGACACAAAATGTGTCATGATTTATTAACATATGACGACCATTCATGTGATTCTAAACAATGTCAGTCTGAGTGTTATAGTAAACGGAAGAGGGGAACTGGCACGTGTGAGCCTCATGATATACGGTCTTGCCTCTGCTCTTTTGAATGTCAAAGTTGATTTTTTTTTTCCTTGTGATCTATTTGCAAACTATCATCCATTATAACTTATAAGTAATAAAGTAATGAATTGAAAAATGATTGCAAGAGACATGGAGAAAAAGATAGAAAGCTGTTTCTGAAAGAGCTAATTTTTAGAAATATGGTTGCATTTTGAAAGAGGTGTAACATATTTGCTTTGTTGTAGTTATAGCTAGCATTGTACATAATAATATTTGACCAAAAATGCAAAAATGATTAAAGTAGTCCCAATTCACAAATATCATTTTAAAAACGGTCGGACCCGTTATTGTAAGCCCACTGGCCCAGGAGTTTTACAATGGTTTTATATAGTTTTCTTTTAAATTTAAAACATTACATTTTCACTATATAAACGTACTGAAAAGAATACATGTTATAAACAAATCTTAATAACATGAAGGTGATGTGTAGTGTGTACCCCGACAAAAGCTTTAAATTCTGTTAATGAATAACTTCCCAAATCACAATTTGCTTTTTGCATGAAAAAAAAAAATCATCTATTTCAAATCATAATATCCACAACAACAACATAGAGGTATTTCTTTCTTGCACGTTTGCTCCAGTCGAGTGTTTCTATAACTAATAGATAAAATTGTCAATCAGTTCATTTGACGGTGATCATTAGTCATTACCTCTGTATAGTATATCTAAGAACGCAGACCATAGCAAATGTAGAATAAAAGTCCAAATTTACTAATTTGGAATAAAACGTCATTGGAGCCTTAAATAAATATATTTAAAACGTGATTCCAATTTGGCATACTAGAATTAGTAAAAATTTAAAGTGGAACGAATAATAAGTTTGTCTAAATGATATGGCCTATATCGTCTACAATAGTGACGCGTATAAACCCCACATGGTCCGTTTTCTTTTTCACAATCCTTTGCAGATAGTTCGCCGTCAAGTTTTATACCCATAAGAAAAGAATGGATTATTTAGAGAATGTTCCTTCTTCTGATCAAAACGAAAACATTACTACTGTTTCACAACCTTCTTCTTCGTACTTGACAAGAGATCAAGAACATGTGATCATGGTCTCTGCTTTACGCCAAGTGATATCTAGCTCCGGATATGAGACGTCATCGTCCCACTCGATCGCCGTAGACGAATCTCTTCCACCTCCGGACGCTGGCCCTTGTCCTCTCTGCGGCGTCACTGGTTGCTACGGCTGTGCATTTCAACGACGACACGAAGAGATCAAGAAAGAGAAGAAGCACAAAGGAGTAAGGAAGAAACCATCAGGTAAATAAAATATGTTTTCAATACGTTATGTTGCATCAACTCAAAAAACTACACAAGGTAACAAGAATTATAACTTCTCCAAAAAAAAAAAAACATGAATTATATCAAGTATGTTGAAAACTTGAGCATGAGATTAAGTTTGTTGCATCATTTTAATTATATATTTTTATATATATTTATGTTTTAAATACGTTATGTTCCAATAGTTATTGAGCTTGTTGCATCAAATTTTATATATTTTCAAAAAATTACACTAGGTAAATGGTCGGCAGAGATATGGGATCCGAGTTTGAGAGTAAGGAGGTGGCTTGGAACGTTTCCGCCGGCGGAGATGGCGGCGCAAGCTTACGAAGAGGCGGAGGCTGGGCTTGTCGGAAGAAGATCAAAGACACGTGGCACAAAGAAAGGAGAATGACACGGGGCTATTATGCCCCTCCCCCGTTGTATTGGGCTTTTTGACCCGTTTCACTACCCGCTCTTGATGAGTCTTTGCTACTATTCATCGGGAGGACTGGTTGTTGTGTATTTTTATTGATTTGAAATTATAGTTCAAGTATAAGAAAATTTAACCAAGTCAGATTATAATTTCCAGTTTTCCACACCCTAAACATGCTTAACTTTTTTGTTATTTATTTCTTGCACGTTTACTATAAATCGAGTGCTTATTAGAAATAAATATTTTCTGTAATGTTTGCTATTTCAATTAAACAATATACTCTATAATTCACCATATGTCAAATGTTATTACAGATACGGTGGGAAATAAAATTTAAAAGTATAATATGTATTTTGAGATATTATTTTTCAAAATAAGTATATATCCCGGATGTTGCGTTACAATATTTGGAGTATACTAATGCGGTATATGTATGGGTATTTAGTTATTTACTAAATGTTCACGAAACGGTGTATTTAGAAATATCTGAATCCTTTTTGGTCTATATATGACTGTTTGTAGACGTTGTGGTGGCCATGTAATGTAAGGCTATGTGCTCTTTGGTATGAGTGTATTTGTTGGTCAAAATGTTTGGGTTGGATTACCTTGTAGTATGAACATTTCGTTTGATCCAGTTTAAAATACTAGATGACAAAAGAAAAAGAAAATTTATCCTCAAACGAAGAACGAAGCATAGCAAATGACCTGAAAACGTCCAAACTTACCTGTGGTTTATATAAAAGGTTTTAACGTGATTGAAAATTAAATTCAGTTAAAAAAGTAGAAGAAGAGAGTATTTGCTTCTTAAAATTATCACATGGCCATGTGCAAATGCAATGAGCAGTAATCTGAAGTCAACATTTATTTGTCTGTGTTAGACTTAGTCACACGACTCACATTACCCAATCTGATTATCACTATCTTTAATCTAATTAATTACCATATCAACTAAAACATTAAATTATATTAATTAAGAGTAAAACAGATTTTTAATATATTTTTTTTAACGTGGGTGAAAACTTTAGAACGAAAACTGAAAAGGCTTAAACTGTTTTACATACCGAAGGATACGGGGAATTCGCGCCGCGTGGACATTCATTAATAAGTAATAACTCAGATATGGGACCCAC